CCTCTAAACCGTCGTGGGTAAACAACCATGCTACTATATGTAGCCTACTTAAGGTGGGCATTTATAGTGCAAACTTGGACCCCTGTTTAAGAACATGAGCCTAAATGTAGTGCCTCTACTAACTTTGAGAATTGAACATGGATGGGATAAAGTGAGCTGTACCCAATTGTTAGGTATGTTGCTTGATTAGTGACCTGAAACACTAAAGAATTAAGAATAACATTAATACCATTATTATTAAGGAAACATGAAATGACTGTAGATTAAAAACAAACATAATTTAAGGTTTCAAAGTAGATTATTATTATTTGCAAAAAAAGTGATTTTGTTATTGTTACTTTTGTTATTATATTAATATTAAACGTATTGATAGTTTTACAATGAATAATTCTTGAATTACATTGCATTAATAATATTGATGAAATATTTCCCATTATATGATTGACATTGTGTTTTTAGATGTAGGTCTTTATAAAGCATAGAGGTTAAATCTTTTACCTTGACAATGAACTAAATTTTTTACTGATTTAGTTATAAAGTTATAAATATGTTTAGTCCCTGATATTGAACAAAACAAAATTACTGGGTATCTGAATATTAAAAATGAAATTGAAATAATTAATTTTAGTTTGCTAAGCATATCCTTTCATTTGTTATTTAGGTGTATAGCATTTGCAATAATTTACAATTTTTTATTTCTAATTAACATACTAAAATGATATATCTTTATTTATAATTTCCATAACTAATGTAAAAACTACAATTGGTGCACATTTATTTTTTAAACTGGAATAATTGTGGTTGATGTTAATACATTCTTGAAGTTGGAATGTGCAATGTGGAAGCATGTGGTGCATCAGGGAGGGCTCCAGGTGTTCAGTTGCAAGTTCTTGTGTTCAAATCCAATGCTGGTCACATTGCTTTGTCAGGTGTCTTTGTGCAAGACACCTGAATTGTGTTTGTCTCTATTCACCTATGGGTTCTCAGAGGGCAAAGCCCCAGGCCTCCCAGTCCAAAGAGGCCCTGGAGTGTGTAAAAAGTTGATTCTATGGTTTATAATCACATAATATAATTATATTAAATTATATTATATACTAAGATATTTTAAATTGCCTTAATATTCATATTGTTATTAAGTTAGCGAATACTTTACTGAATTTCATGGGCACCAACATACTTTTGACCCATGACCCGACAAAAAAAGCTACGCCACTGCTAACAATAGGGAGCTTTTGATTACACGACGACGGTAGGACGTAGAACATAATGATGTCACTAAAAGTCATCTGCGCAGGACGGTCACGCATGACTGATTGCGTCGTCGCACAAATCGAAAGCTCCCTAATACGTCCTAGGTAGCGAAGGAGGTGGTAAGTGTGTTGTGTTTAACCTTCCTCTAAATTTACAAATGGATCACCAATATAGAATCAAGTATAAACACAGAATAAGCCTTGAACATTTAATTCAATGGACCTCAAATATAATTCAAGCGGCTTGTCAAATTGGCTGCTAAACCTAATTAGTAGATATTTTAAAGAAAATTAAGAGGTGGGTTACTTAAGGAATAATTGTTGTAGATATCTATAGCAGCTGTAATAAAAGAGTTGGGATGGCTTCTTAGAAATGATCTGGGGGTGGAGCTGTAACGGATAAGGGCACTAATTATCCATAGAGAAGGTTTGCGTGAAAAACTTGGTTTGCGTGAAAAGCTTAATTTCCATACAATCTCTACACTGTCGCTACAGTGTTTTCAGTGCAATCGTACTGTGTAGCAGTACCCGACGCAATCAGGAAGGTTCCCCGATTCGACTAACCAATCAGCATGACCGAAAGCTGTCTGCGATAGTGCGTAGCAATTGTATGGAAACCAAACTTAAATAAAGAGGTTTTGATATGTAAATGAGAAATCCAGGCCAGATTTATATGATGTGTGCATCAGTTTGAATGCTTACAATAGTGTACAACATTAAAACTGTAAAATGTGTATGTACTGATTCAATAATTTATTAAGTTATTATTATATACCAATTGCAATATTGAATAACATTAAACAATACAACTGGGTTTTTTTCCAGAATTGTACTTGATTTATATTTATAGAATTATTAATAATGCTCTGCAAAAATAAGCATGGTTACAGATACCATAGAGATTTATCGTGTGACTATGGTTCTGGAGCATTATTACTTTGAGACATCTAGAATACAGAGAGGTTCATATTATTACGGATGTCTTTATTGGTTGATTTTTGTTTTCTTTTAATTTATACTTGTTGGTGAAATCCGGTTTATTACTATGTCTCATTGGTGCTTCTATGCACATACTCTGTGCTGTAGAATGAGTAGTAATTCATTTGTTGCCCCTCCCCCCTCTTGATAAGAAAGAGTGTACTTGTGTTTCACTGTGATGCTGTATCCCCTGCTACATGTTAGCTTTTTTGTTTTTTACTGAATATGCTTATGTCCCTGTTAGCTTTATAATAACACTTGTTTTGCAATTCAGGGAAACATTTATATATATATATATATATTTTTTTTTCCATGATTCATATTCCTTCACAATTTTTTGCCACAAAAATTAATTGGAATGTTAACCAGATAAACTACCCTTTTTTCTAAAATAAAGTATGGAATTAACTTTATGACAATTTTAAACCTTAATTTAAATATTAAACACAATAATTAGTATTTCACAATATTTTTCCATTTGATGCTCTATCCACATTTTTATTTGATTCAAATTTAATGATTTGAATATGTAAAGGTTTGTCCACAGTGTTTTCTGTGACTTATCTATAGATTGCTCATTTTCAGGCCTGATGATATCATATCAGACACACTTATATGGGCATGATGATGTCATAGGCCTAATATCACACTATATAATGTGGACACATCACAGGTATTTGACACAGGTGAAGTTCACAAACCTTTAAATTATATTTTTAAACAGAATCCCAGTGAAAAATAATTACTTAAGATTCATTGATGTTATGTAGAATGAGTATATAATCTCCCAATATGAAGGAACAACCTCACTGAATGAAGGGCACCAACGCAAGCTGTAGATAGATCTATGGCTCTGAAGGGCACTGTTGCAGAGCGCCCTCGATATTTGGTAAAAAAATAACTCAGTCTATATACATTTTCCGTTTTTGTAAAATAGAGAGCTGGGAAGTAGAACAGTACCTCAGCATTATCTGAATGAATGTTTGATTTATATTGAATATATTCTTCTTTTTTTCATAAATATTTGTACTTGGGGCAAAATTAATATTTTTTGTCCTGTGTGTGGGAAACAACAGAATACATAACTGGCCAACTCAATTTAATTTGCTGTTTCGGCAATCATCATTTATACCTTTCAGTAATGAGATCAGTTTGTTATATTTAGTATACTTCAATTGGGAATAAGTGATGTTGGCTGTAGACTGAAATTATTTGTGTACAGATAAACAATATATTCTATTATTAGATTGCCTTAGAAAGCTTGATTGTATTCTTATGCTACAGTTGTTTCCAAGGATATATAATGTACAGATTTCATGTCAAAATTATCTTTTTAAGATAATTTAAAATTGTTTAAAACTCTATGAGATGAAAATAATTTTATTGTGAACCAATAAATCCCCCATGTGATATACTATCAATGTGTAAGGTTTGTCTTTGTCTAGGTTTTCCACCTTCGATCATTAATTGAAAATGGTACATACGGTAATTATTATGCATATTAAAGAGTGGTGACATATTGGGAAACTTTGTGACGATGGTGATAGATGATGAATCTTAAAAGAAAATCGTTGAATGATATTTGACTTCGGTTTGCACACATCTGACTATAATACAAATATCTCTAGATCGATTACCAGCCAACATGTGGGTGGAGCAGCGACGGCGGCGGACCCCAAAGAACGTTCTCTTATTTTTCGTTCTCGCGCCAGCAACATCTTTACTAAATATAAACTTACAATATTTGTGTTAAACCACTAAAAATAATAGAAGGCGACAGATTCATACTTATTCTTATCAGTTGTTATTGTTAAATGTTGCTATTCAAATTGCCTATACAGTACATGAGGCCGAGTATCAACACAAAATAACTATTTTAACACTTTTTCTGTATATAATCGACCAGTTCCATTTCCGTTGTTTAAACAAAGTATGACGTTCAGATAGGTCCAGCATAAGTGATATGAAAATTAAAGTGAGTTCTACGGTATGGAGTGTTTGATTTCTTTTTGGTTTATTGTATACATTGTACTTGTAAAATCAAGGGGCGGCTTCTTTACCTTGTAGCCTCCTTTATCTCATTTTGGTTGGAAAATGCTCCAAAGTGCTCTTCTCTTAGACTTGGTACTTAGTAACTTAATCTTCAGAAAAAGCTCGTTCCGTAAACCTTGTGAAATTGGACTTAAAAACAGATGAAGGAGAATTCTCGGCCTAAACATACCAGTATGCAATTCAATTCAATTCTTTATTTCAGACAATTAATATCCGTAGGCCTAAGAAAAAACAAAAACAAGACAAGAGAAAAAAGATCAATCTCACTGATTGAACTGCGCACAAAACAATAGTGAACCTCTTTGAAATAATTAAAGGACTATAGGCCTAAGTGTACAGCAGATCTGTCCACTAACAATTCAATTTGGAAAACCTCAGCACATATTTACATAAAATGGAAAAAGGCATGTTTCTGCTGGAGAGTTGTCGCTTACAAAAACTAAAAATTGGGCTTCTTAAAAAAGACTGAATGCCATAATTAACAAACATAGCACTGGTGCTACAATATCTTGAGCGAGTTATAGCAAACATGCAGGGATCTAAAGTTTGTTTTCTTATGATTAGCCAAGAAGGCAGAACAATACATACTTGTACAATAACATCTGAATAGTCTCAATTTGACAGGAGGGCATAACCCATACTAACTTTGTAGAATTAAAAATAATATCAAGTGCATAATCACAGATTCTGACAAGTTCCTGTAA